TAAGTATATTCATACTGTCATGAAACTATCACCATTCATTCTTTCATCTTCCCTAAGCAAAGCTTTGTAGCGATAAACACTACTGCTGTGACTCCAGTTATCTGGGAGGCTGAGGCAGGTGGATCACAAGTACAAGGATACTACCGAGGGAGGCCCAGTCTCAAAATCAAAAGGCGGGGATGTAGCTCAGTGGTAGACCCCGAGTTCCACCCCCATACTGTACTGCAAAGCAAAGCCAAGCACAAGAGGGCACCAGCTAAAGAAACCCCAGTAACTCCCTCTTCCCTTCTAGCCCCCCTTGGTAACTGTTAATCTACTTTGTGTTTCTAAGAACTTGCCTTTTCTACGTATGGGATGTTTTAAAGGGCCTATTTAGAAAGGTGTGGACAGGGTTTAGGAAAAGCTGCAAGGGATGAAATGAGGTCATTGGGCCGAAATCTCAGTACACTGTTACCACTCCTGGACAAAATGAGAGGACATCAAGGTGACAGAAAGCTCCGGAAACCTGGGAACAGCTCCAGGGCAGGGGCTGCCTGCTGTCAGAGGCCCCGCAGCCACCTCTACCCCTCCCAGTGAGCCAGCAGCCAGCTGAGAGGGAGATTGCTCTTCCTTCCCTGGGCCCCTCCAGGTCTGCATTGTTCTGTGACCTGGCTCCTACCCTTAGTCCTGGAGGCACTGCACAGAGGAAGCAGTGTGCAGAGAGGAGGGGCCGTGGGAGACAAACTGACCAGCCAGCAAGTGGGTACAGGCCTCTGAGCTGTTTCATTGCATGGAAATGAGTCGCAGAGGCAGCACACAATTAAAGGCTCTTGTGCAGTTTGTATATTGCAGGTGACCGACAGTAAGAAGGTGTAATGAATTTTCATTTCCTGTCCCTCGCTCCCTAGCAACTTCTCACACTCTGCACAATTTGCTTGTACGTTTGTTTGCTTTGTGGTGGATGATGCTAAGGCTGAAAAGTGCTGCCTTGTCCTCCAGCGCTGGCTTCTCCATGCACATGGCCAGTGCCTCTGCTTTCACCAGCTGGGAGTTCCTGACTGCTGTCCGCCTCACACTTCACCCTCCCCAGGGACAGAGTAGCCTGCATGCCGGGAAGGAAGATGTTGCAGGTGATAGATATTTAGCCTTCACAGTAAATTTTCCTCACCAACACACCTGGGCCCTGGTGTCTTGGCTCTGTAGTTTCTGTCTCTGACCCTCTCTATCTTCCTCTCCTGTCATCCTTAAATATTCCTAGGCCTAAGCCATTCTAAGCACTCCCCTTTTCTTACTGTCCGGTACCCGACTGCTGGGCGCCTTCATTCATCCCAGATGATGGGTGGTTTCTGACTCCCTGTGTGTGGGGAGAGACCTCAGGAAGGTCCTAAATCTCTAGCAACCCAGGCTGTGTAGGGTGGAGGGCTCAGGTGGGAAACGGGGATGCTAGCATATAGAATCCTTGTGTTCCAGGCAGTTCTTAGCCTGTGCTTGTGTAATAAAAATTGTATGCTGGTTACTTTCTCAAAACTGCACACATTTATAAATTTACTTAATTACCAGAATAACTGTATTCAGGAGCCATTGTTCTTGTTTTGCAGAGGAGGCATTCAACTAGCAAATGCCTTATCAAAGGTCACACAGCAGTCCATCACAGAGCTCTGATTTGAGCTCAGGCAGATCTGTCTCCAAAACTTTTCCAGCCACCTCGGGAGGGGGTGAGTTCCTGGTCCCCAGAAGTGTGTGAGTTGAGGCAGAATGTCATAAAGAAACTGTAGCTGAGGAAAAGTTTGCTTCCTGCTCTGAAATTCCAGGACTCTTGGTTTGGATTGATATGTGCCTCCTGGGAAGTACAGTTGTCCCCTATAACCTACAGTGGATACATTCCAAGACCTGGGGATGCCTGTGGATAGGACAGCATTAAACCCATCAAAATGGTCATAATTGCTCTTCTGTCATGGAGATTTTTCCAGGTGGTCCTCCACACACATATACCATATTTTTTTCTACACACACACACACACACACACACACACACACAGATTTAATGCCTTTTCTGTGTTAACTAAGCATTACTACACAATGCATCCATTACTTTTGCAGTTTGAGGCATGATACACAAATTTCCTATCTTTACAGTTTTGTGAACAAAAGATTCATCATATCACTTACCTTAGCAACTTAACCATAAGGTTCTTTTTATTTCTTTATTAAGTGAAAAAAATTACCTTTTCATTGAAAGGAGGTATTTCATGGTTTCTTTGACATATCACACCTGCCAACATCATTGCTGTTGTGCTTTGAGGCCACTGTCATCTAATGAACACAAGCACCACTATAGTAGTGACAGTGGGTGTGGTAACATCAGTGGCTAGTAAGTAACTAATGGGAGGGTAATACATATGGTGTGGATACACTGGAAAAGGGATGATTCTTTTCCAGGGTGGGGCAGGAATGGACAATGCATAATTTCATCACACTGCTTAGAATGACATGCAGTTTAAAATTTATAAACAGTTTATGTATGGCATTTTATCATTTACCCATTTTTGGAGCTGGGTTGCTCTGAAATAGCTGAAACCCTGGAAAATGGAACTGTAGATAGGGGGTGACTGTGGATGTTGGGGTGGGTGCCTCAGTGAGGTCTGGTGATAGGAAGTGGCAGGATGCTGGGTTGTAAGGGCTGGCGGAGCAGTGTGTGTGTGTGTGTGTGTGTGTGTGTGTGTGTGTGTGTGTGTTAAACTAAAAGGGTAGCCCGCTGGTGCAAAGTAATCAGGCAATGAGCTCACCTCTCCCCTTCCTGTTCTTTCTTGTTGCCCTGGGCTGTTCGCTGAGTCCCAGATGGGCAATATTTAAACATGGATTCTGTTCTGAATAGAAGTGTCACTAGGGTTGCAATGTGCTCTTTATATATTGCAAAGAAACAAGCCCAGGGCAACAAGCGAGAGTGTTGGGTTTAATCTTACTGCTGCTGCAGGCTGGGGTGCAGGCTGGTGGTGTGACCGCTTCTCTGTTTAATGAGAGAATGGGGAGGCACAGTGCTGGGGACCGTAGGGTTCTAATTCTCAGCTCTGAAGCAGGCTTGCATGTGTGCTGAGCCCAGCCATATTTTAGAGCTCCACAGTGAAGACAGAGTGTGGTGAGTATTAACTGTTTTTTCCTGACCTTCTCAGGCCTGATGCCCTTGGTTCCATGTTTGTCTTTTTTATTTTATTTATTTATTTGTCTTTTTCCTTTTTATCGGTACCAGGGATCGAACTCACAACTGCCTGCTTGCAAGGCAGGCGCTTACGCCGCTGAGCTAAATCTCCAGCCCCATGTTTGTCTTTTTTAAAAACTTCTCTTTCCTGTCCTTAAAGGGAGACATGGTTCCAGAGGAGAAAGAGAATTGGATAGAGTGGGGGTGGGAATTCCTTTTGGGGAGCAGCTCCAGAAGTGACCTGGCCCACTCTTGGTTCTCTTGGGTTGTGGCATCGAAAGTCAAGGACTCTTGACTGCAGAGCCACTCATCCCATACAGCCATAACCCACGTTGCTGTGTGAAGAGTGACTATTAGACTAACCAGTGGTAAGTGAGAAGGCAGTGCTGGGGTATTTGATATTTGCATCACTGCCTATTGCCCCTTAACCAACCATCCCCAAATTGAGTGCTAATACATTTGTAAAGCTGTAGGTGGGCTCAGACCCTTCGTTCTTCTGCTGATCTCAGCTGGACTTATGTGGCAGCCAGCCTCCGAGATGATCCCTTGTAACCTTTGTCCACAGGTATTCACATCCTCGTGAAGTGATGCCCACACTATGTCATGGTTAGTCTCTGTGATGCTTTCTGAGACTGACTTATAAAAGGCAGATCCTCATGTGTTAGGTGCTCTCATCCATGTGCTGTTGTTCTCATTTGGGTTAGTGGCTCTGGAGGAAGCAAGTGACTACACTGTGAGCAGTCCTGTGGTGAAACCCACATGTGGAGAAACCACAGCCCTGGTCAACTGCCAGAGGGGAACTCGGGCTGCCAACAGTGAGGAAAGTGAGCTGGCAGAAGGGACACCCAGCCCTGTTTTAGCCTTAAGATGACCAAGATATTTCTTTTCTTTTTTTTCCTCTTCTTTCCTCCCCTCCCCTCCCCTACTCTCCCCTTCCCTTCCCTCCCCTCCCCTTCTCTCTCTCTCTCTCTCTCTCTCTCTCTCTCTCTCTCTTTCTCTCTCTCTCTCCCTCACCCTCCTTCCCTCTTTTCCTTCCCTCCTTTCTTCCTTGCTGGGAGTCTTGCTAACTTTCCATGGCTAGCCTTGAACTTGCTATCTTTCTTCCTCTGCTTATTTAGTAGCTGGGATTACAGACCCCTGGCACTATATCCAGTTTGAGAAAACCAATTTGTCTTCAACCTGCAGATACCCTGATCCAAAATCATGCAAGTAAACTGCCCCTGGATTCCCAGAAACTGTAAGAAGAAAGAAATGTTGTAAGCTGTTTTGGGGTAATTTGTTTTGCAGCAAAAATAGCTAAAACACTTATGGATCTGTGGTCAAGTGACAGTGATGGCTTCCTCTACATTCCTGCCCAGTGTCTAACTAATGGCTAGGGTGACAAGGGGACCTGGGTTATGTGTATCTCATTACTCAGAAAGTTATCCTTGTCACATAATAAGAGGAGTCACAGACTTCCAAAAGCAAAGAGATAAGCTTTAGTGTGCGTCTATTCTAATCCTTTGCAACATCACATTTGCTAATGACTCATTGGCTAGGCAAAGTACATCACTTATCCCAGATTTAAGTTAGGGTGAGGAAATAGATTTACCTCTTGATGAAAGGAAGGGGAAGAATTTGTGGCCAGTTTCACAGTTGTGGAACACACGGTTCACTACAAGATCCCATCACCCTCAATACTCCTTTCTCTACTTCTTGTACAACCTGCACTTTGGTATCAAAATCAGCAAGTACGCATTGAGCAACCGTTACATGGCAGGTCTCGACATGGCAGAATCAGGATTTGAACCCAGCTCTAGGGGCTCCGAGTGTGGTATTAACTCACCTCTTCCCACCAACATGTTCACAACTTTCCATTTAAGTGCAACGGATCTGTCTGGGGCAGGACGTTTGGGCAGAACAACAGACTCCAGAGGGCGACAAAGGCCAAAGTGACTTCCATTGCCACCCCATGTTCATCTCCTTCCTTCCCAGGGCTGTCCTCAGAGAAGTGAGCAATGCTGCCTGCCAGGAAAGGATTCATCATTAAGCACTAAGAAACCAGGGGCGGGAGGCAGGGAAACAGGAAGCAGAGGGAGGACAGGAGTAGGATAAAGTGAAAAGGGGGATGAGATGGACAAAAAGGAAAAATAGAAAGTAAAAAAAGAAAATATGAAGAGTCGGAAGATGTGACCATATTATCAGTATTGTTATTATATCTTGGTGGGAGAACTTAGTGCGAAACGTGAAAGTCAGAACGCAGGTGCTGATGAAATAATGAAATCTACCTCTTCCTAGTGAACTAGCAATGGACATTTCCTGGCACTATGACACCACTACTTGTAAGATACTTTTTGATTCAATTACACTTTGGAGGGGTGGGAGAACTGTCACATAAAAGGCACATACTTAAGAAAGATAGTAACACACAGTTGTTCCTACCATCGCTCCTTAATTTCTTGCAAGTCACAGTGGATGTCTGAATGGACACTGGGACGTCTATACTCTGTTGAATCCCTTTGGAACTCTGTGGAATTGCAGGAGACTGTAATACTTTTGCAGCTCATATATGTGAACTTCATTTATTTATTTAAATCAACAACATAATCTCAAGACATAGTGAAGAATACTGGTGTTTTATGTGTACTTTGGCTTTGGATAAACATACAGCTTCTCTCTCTTTTCCACTAATTGTATTGTATATATCTGGAAGTTACATAGCCTTTATAAATCTCCCTGAAGGCTTTGATAGGTACATATCTAGCACCAATTACAGGACTTGGTGAAACAGATCCACTGCAAAATATTCTCTGATCTATTTGGAAAGCCCAGGTGTTTTTATGTTTGTGATACATATTAAGTAAATTCATTGTGGGGAATTGGTACATGTATACATCACCCTTTTCCCTTAGTCTCCCTTTTGTACTTTGCCATCCCTGGATCCCTTTCCCATCTCCACAAAGTCTGTCTCTCTGTTTTCTATTATCTACCTTTTGTTTTGCTCTTTAAATTATTTATACTTTGTGTTTCTTATGTAAGAGAAATCATGCAACATTTAACTGTGTCTGATTTATTTGGCTTAGCAGTGTGGCATCAAGGTGCATCCATTTTCTTATAAATGACTCAAGTTCATCTTCTTTGCTGGTGAATAGTACTCTATTGTGTATATGCACCATATTTCCTTTTTCTTTTTCTTTTTCTGGTATCAGGGGTGAACTCATGACCTCGTGCTTGTGCCCTGAGCTAAACCCCTAGTCCCACACCACATTTTCTTTATCTTTATCTCTGCATAGGCATATAGGTTGCTTCCAAGGACTTGTGTTACTATAAACATGAGCATACACGTATTACTATAATATGATGTCTTTAATTCCTTGGGCATATACCTATAATTATAGTAGGATTAAAATAAATTTCTATTTTTAGGTTTTTTTGAGGAAACTTCACATTGATTTCTACAGAGGTTTTATTAGTTGATATTTCCACCAACAATTTAGGAAGGTTCCTTTCCCCCTGCAGCTTTGCCAGCATCTATTATTATTAAATTTCTTGAGGACAGTCATTCTTACTGGGATCAGATGGAATCTGTTTTAATTTGCATTTCTCTGATGCTAAAGATGCTGAATAGTTTCTCATGTGCCTATTGGCCATTTGTATTTCTTTTTTTAAAAAATATTCATTTTGATCACTCATTTTTAATTGGGTCTTTTATTTTTTTAAGTACTTATGTATTCTATATATTAGTACTCTGTCTAAAGAGTCGCTGGCAAACATTTTTTTCCATTCTGCATATTAGAGACTGGATGGTTTTTACTGTTAGTAACTGGATTGGTTGACATACTATCTCCCACATACACAATAGCTTTATTTTTACATGAAATGTTTTTCTCGGATATTTAAAGCAATAATTAGGATCCAAACTTATATTAACAGTTAACTCTGTAGTCCCTATCACTCAGAACTAAAGTAACGCTGCACATGCATGTAATATGCTGGGTCACTTCCCCCCTCCTAATTTTTGTGATAAAGTCTGAATCAGAACCTAAAGTGCAAATAAGAACAGATCTAGAAGTGCTGTGGCCAAGGACAATGAAAACAGCCTGGTGTTGTCTATTCCTAAGAAACAGAATGCTTTTTGAAGGTTTGGAGCATATCTAATATATTAAAACCCTTCAAAATTGATGCTGGCATCCTTTTTTGCCTTCAGTGTCTTATGCCTGCAATACTGCCTACAACCACCAGGTAGCAGTAGTATCTTAAACAGCCTGCACACCTGAGCCATAGTCTTCTGTGACTGTCAGATGCGTGACTTCCCCCACTGTATGAAAATATGTTTTCATATAACTGTTAAGCAACAGTTCAGGAGGCAATGTATCACTGCACTCATACTGGTTTGAGCCTTGATTCTGGCGAGTTTGGGTGAGTTAGCTTCTTACAGAAGGGGAAAGGGATAAACAACAGTGGTTTCCAGGACTATGGTATTCTGTATGTCCCCTTACTGAGAGCCCTTTGATTTTGACCCCAGAGGCTCTACACACCCTGGAATGTGATTAACGTTTGCTGTTTAGCTGTGAATGGTGCAGAGTACAGAACATAGCCTATAGTTGGACTAACCCTTACTCTCTTATAGTCATCAATCCATACTCACACAATGAGTGACTATTAATTGAGCATATACTCAATACCCATCTGAATACCAGTTCTTTTTATCCTCACAGCAATTCTATGAGCTCTATATCATCATTATGCCAAAGGAAAAAACTCCCAAGGGCAGGGGGAGAGTAAATGAGTTTCTACATAAAATTTGCTGTCTGTTGCCTGGCACACAATGAGTGCTTGTTATATATAGTGCTTGCTATTTGCAGATGAGGAGACAGCTGCTCACAGGCTGGCTGGACAGACAGCCCATTTGCTGAAAAGCATAAAGCAGCCAACTATAAGAGGCAGTAGGAATACGGAGCAGTGGGCCACTAATTTTTGGGGGGCAGGTAGCCAGGAAGGCTTCATGGAGGAAACAGCATTTAAACTGGATTACAAAAGATAAGCAGGGGAGCAGAGTTTTCCTGGTTGTTCCTTTTTTTTTTTCTTTTTGATAAAACACAAAGATTTAGCAGAACACATGGCTATAGAGTTGGAACTAGAGAGTAAAGTCACCATGATCCCTTGCACCTGGGGGAGTTGTGGGGCTGAATTTCCATGCCAACTGTCAGTGGAAATAAAGTTGTTTGCTATTATTTCCCAAAGGTGGAGTGTGGAGGAACACATTTTGGCCATGAGCAGAGGGAAGAGCAACAAAACAGAACCTGGGCTTTTGGATGACCTTGCTGAGCATAGCTGTCTCCCTCACGGTGGACCTCAAGCCTTTGGCAAAGGATCCCATGAGACAGCACAAACTTTATCCTACGTGACCCACTGTGTGTGGGCTCCTCAGTCTGAAGTTATTTAGTTGGAAGCTTAAATAATACACCAGGTAAAAAGGGAAGAAGGCTTGTAGGTCAGGACATCCAGACACGAAGAGTGGAGGACCTTAGAGTGTTTTAGGAAACTTTCTCATAGGGTTCTTTAGAGGATTAAATAAGCTATTAAACACACAAAGTGCTTACTGTAGCATCTGCTGCATGCTAAGCTCACAATAGATGAAGGATATTTTTGTTATGTGACACAAAAGTGACTTCAAACCCTCATCTATCAAGTAGGGTTAGTGACACCAGTGTGGTAGAAGCAGAGGTCAGGACCTTCTTACTTGAACAGTATGAATGACCTGGAGAAATCCTACTGGGAGTAGGATGAGAAGAAAAGTAACTATTGAGAGATAAATGAGTCCTGACTTCCACTGATCCAACAGTTTAATTTAAAACCTCCCCTGCAATCCTGTCACTCAGCTGCAGCTCACATGTGTCCTGTTCTGTGTGCCTGAGAAGCCGTCAGCAGTTCCTTGGAGGTGTCCTGGGCATTCAGGGCTCCCAGTTTTTCTGTGAGCCTCTAGGTTGACTCCTGTTTATCCCACAGGACTCCGTGCGGACATCCGGTCTGCCTAGGAACTCCGACCTCCTTGGGAGATCTGAGTGTGGCACAGCCCTCCCTTGCAGCCTTGTCACTGGTCTAGGTATCATTTCTGCCAGGCTGAGCTCTTCCAGGGGAAGGGGCATGAGTGTTTTCGTTATTGTTGTTGGTTTTCTCAGCACCTGGCCAGGTAGAGCTCAGTCTTACGTTCACTGAATGCATGATCCTTGGGCAACCCCAGGATTAGCAAGTGTGTGTGGATTGGTACACACACACTCGCACATGTGCTCGCGGGCCGGGGGTGCTGGTGGCGCAGACAGGGGTCTTTATCTTAGAGAGTCTGTAAAATAAGCCGTTTCACATATGCTGGAACTGCGCCTTTTCGACAGCATCATGGGAGTCAGGGGCTAGGAGGTAGTTCGGTAAAAGAGAAACCAGCACAGCACGTCGGAGGCCTGGCTTCCCCCTCCCGGCACCCCTCTTTCCCCCTCTGAACCTTATTTATGGCCCTCGCCTTGCTGTCTCGGAGGACTCTTAGAGTCCCAGGGCCCGTGGCTGTGGCGCACACACCAGGCCTGGCCTCCCAGGGCCCCGCGTGGACCCGCTACTTGCACGACCCGCAGGAGGGCACCACCGCGGGCCCTGCCCTGGCCCCGCCCCGGCCCGGCCCGGCCCGGCCCGCCCCGTCCCGGCCTCTTCCGCCCTCCGCTCCCCGCGGCCGCTCCCTCCGCCCGCCGCTCCTCTCTGCCGCCCGTCCGGGGCGCGGGCCGGGCGCGCGCTGGGTGGTCCCGGCCGGGGGCGGGCGGTAGCCTGCAGGCGTAATTGGCATGCACGCCGTTGTAGCTGAGACCGCTTAATAAAGCATTACATATCTCACCGCTTCCATATTTCATTACCTCACGCGGAGCCTGTGAGAGGGCCCTAATGGGAGTCAGCTGTGTTTTTACTTTCTGTTGTCGGCCGGGGACCGGCTTCTCTGTGGATTCTTTGAAATGAAATAATGTGATGCACGCCGCGATAAGGGCCGGCCGTAATGAGGCCCAGGCCGCCGGGCGGGCGGCTGCGACCGCTCCAGGTGTCGCGCATTTGAGCTCGGGGAGGAGGGGCGGAGCGCGGCGGAAGGGGAGGCGGGCGCAGAGCTGACGGCCGCGGCTGCGGGCGAGCCCTGGGACCCGGGTTCAAATCCTGCCGCCCGGGCTGCGCGGGGGCACCGGGGCGAAGGCGCGACGCTCTCCCGCAGGCGTGAGGCCGCGCTGCGCAGGGCAGCCCCGTGCATCCGCAGTGCGCGCGTGGGCACGGGGCTCCCTTTCCCGCAGGAACGGGCGCTAGCCCGCCTTCTGGGCGTGGCACCGGCCAGCCCTTTCATTGGAGGGCCGCAGCAGCCCTCTCCCTGCGCTAGGATCGCTACCTCCCTCTGCACAGGAGGAGACGGAGGGTCCGAGAGGTGAGGGGCCGGCTCCGAGGCGAGGCACACTCTGAGAGCCAGAGGGCAGCCCTGGCAAGGAGCAGACGAGCCCAAGAGAGGGAAGGAGGTAAAGTTGCCAGCTGACTTGTCTACCCCGCACCATCTGCTGGAGAAGGGAGCTGGGCTTTCCCCACCCTGTCTCTTGGGCCGCCTGGTGTGGGCTGGAGGCCTTGGCCTTCTTACTGGGAAGGGACGGAGGGCGGGCAGGCCCTCCGGACAGTGCAGGACTTCGTGGAGGGGCGGGGTGGGGCGAGGAAGCCCCCAGTTCTGAGCCTCTGCTCTGTTCTAATCCCACAGCTGCAGTCTCCAGTGGAGTGGAATGCGACTCTTGTGCAGCAGACTCCCAAGCCTCCCACATTCCTGTGTGCTCTGTGCCCCCTCTGTCTCCATCTCTCTTGTTTCTTTTAGGGGACACATGGTCTTGCTTTGTTTTTTGGTTTTGTTTTGTTATTTGGTATCTGGGGATTAAAACCAGGGCCTTCATATTGAGAAAATCTTCAGCCCTTTAATTTTTTTTTTTTTTAAATTTTGACCCAAGGATTCAGTAAATCACTGAGTTGCCAAGGCTGGCGGCGGGGGGGGGGGGGGCTTGCAATCTGCCTGCCTCAGTCTCCCAGAATGCACCACCACGTCCAGGTGAGAATACTCATTGAGAAGGCCTAGCTCCTCAGCATCTCCCAGATTCACCCACTTCCCCCACCTCACTTAGGCATAGTCTAGGTCACACCTGCATCCCTGCAATAGGAATCTTTCTAAAATCTGACCCTGCATGACTGCCCTTCAGCACTGGGCTCCTCTTGGCTCTCGAGAACATCCAGATCCCAAATGCCCACAGCACTCTCTCTTCTTGGACTGACAATCTGGCTTCTGTAGTGCACCATGTCACTGACCCCAACAGGCAAGGTGACTTTTCTTTTCCCCCAGGTTCATCAGCGATGTCTCTGGATGCTTGCTGGTCCTGTTCCCTGAGCTTGAAATGCCGGTCCACCTGTGTGATCTCCCTCACTCTTCAAGGCTTAACCTGAGGACTCCACATTCCTGGGAGCTTCTCTCCATGTGCTGCTCTGCTTCCAAACTGGATATGCACCTTTCCTCCTTCAAACCTCAGTTCCCCTGTGTGCAGGGGTGGAGTTTCATCTCTGAGCTGTGTAATGTCATGAATTTGCCAGGATGGGTGGAAGTTTTTTCCTGATGGAGGAAGAGGTCCTTTGAGTCTGTGGATGTGTTGGATGAGAACCTTGCCACCTGTGCCTTCTACAGGCCAGGCATGATGTTGGAGTGCTCCTGGGCTCATGCCACAAGAACTAGAGAAGCTGAGGTTTCAACCAAGCTGTTGAGATGCCGGAGCACTGTGTGTATGTGTGTACATCTGTGCACACATGTAAAATAATGGGCTCTAGTGTTGGTGGAGCATTTTAAACTTCTCAGCACTGTCACCTCTTGCAACCTTTTGAGACAGGCCCTGCAGAAATCCACACTCAGATTAGGTCACTGCCTTAGTCACACAACTAAAATGAGGAACATCACTGGGCCTGAGCAGAGGCAAATCTTACTCTGGCTTAGGAGGAACCAAATTGGACCCTCAAAGTATAAGATACTTTGTTCTTTGACTCCAGTCTAACTTTGCTAGTTTTTCTTCCCAGTGACCCTCCCCTGCATTCTGCCTGTATCTTAGGGCCTGCTCTGAAGCCTTTGATGTCCCCTGTGCACCTTTTCCCAGAAGCAGGCAGAGCCATCTCTCTCTGCATCGTGCCCTGAATATGCCTCCCTGGCCCAGTTCAGAGCATACTGGCCTTATGATCTTAGGTCCCAAGGTCACATCTGAGCTCCTCCAGGTCAGCAGAGAGCTACAGTGGACTAGTTGCTTAGAATATGCTTTTGTGGATGCCTGAGGATCACTGAAAATGTATGCAAGTCCTTGCTCAGAGAAAATGCTCCATCAATGGCAACTAATAACATTGACATTATTTGTTATGTTTCTGCTTCAGGACAGGATTTATGTTGCAACCTTTATTTTATTTAATTTTCATCCTCATGAGATTGCTGTTGAAACCCCATTTTACCAATGAAAAAAACTGAGGCTAAATGATGCCCAATAATTTATCCATGACTATAGAGCCAATTAGTGGCAGAGCCAGAGCAAAAACCCAGTTCTGTCTGCCTTTGAGCTGCATCCTTTCTGCACGCCGCATCACATGGATCTTATTGGGAGCGCCTTGTGCTCGCTGCCTGTCAAGCAGAGCTGCTCTATTGATTAACATGCAAATGATTTTTTGAGAGAGGGCTTAAGTGTAGTTCTGTCTCAGCCAGCTAAAACGGAGATTTGCAACTCAAACCCTGGTCCTCACCCACTGCTGGGCTATCGGGTTTTCATCTCTAGAGTGATTGACGGATATTTTTTTTCTCTCTTTGACCCAGAACGCCAGGCCTCCAGTACTACTGAAATGTTTGCACAATCTTGAAGCATTTATTTAAAAGTTGCTTTTCCCCAAAGGGCCTGGCCTCAGCCAGATCCTGAGCCAGATCCAAAAAAACAAACAAATCCTGTCTTTACAAGTTCTTCAGCTGGGCTGCATGGGGCAGGTGGGGGCGGGGGTCCCCTGGGCCCTACCTTTGCCCTGGCTGGCTGACAGGCCCGCCCGGAGGCGAGGAGCCTGCCTGCCTGTTTACAGCCCTTTCCAATTCACAGGCCAAACAGGAAAAAGGGTAGGGGGTTGGGGAGGAGGTGAATGTCAGAAATCACAAATAACACAGTTGCGTCTCAAAGCAATAGGCAGTAGAGATATGACGCAGATATGGCTGGGTTGTGTTTCTTGAATGTTCTTTGGAAACCGAGTAGAGTCAGACCCTTGACACCAACTACCCAGATCCCCACAACTCTCACAGCATTATGATCAGGGCAGAGCTCCTTAGACGGGTCCTGTGAGCTGTGCCCGGCTGAGCTTTGTGATCTTGGCCCCAACCATCATGGTACCATGAGCGAACTAATCTCTAGCCCTGGCAGCATCTGCTCTGAACCGTGGCTATCTGGGGCTGTTCTCCTGGACAAAGCAAGATGGAGAGGAGGAAGCCCCATTTATGGAGGGCAGTTCTTGCACAGGATTTGGTGCTCATGGAGGTCATCTGATTTACTGAGCACAGAAGATGCTACTCCCTGCCATCCCTCTCTGCAGGAAAGGTCTGACCTCAACACCCCCTATCTGTTGTCTCCCCTTCCCTGCAGCAAATCACTGGATTAGATTGAGGTCTAACGTTCAGAATATGACGTGGCCTGCCTGACATAGCCAGTGATTAGACGTCAGTGAGAGAAGTGCACTGTAGAAGGGGAGACTGAGGCCCAGAAAGAGGCCCTCTCTTCACTGACAGTCATGAAGGGGCTGCCTGCTCACAAATGGGCTAATCGAGGCCTGCAGCTGGGAAAGCTCAAGCCAGTCCCCTGAGGTGCTTTCTGAGAAGTAGAGGTCAAATGTTCTGATTGCTTTTCCAGAAGCCACAAATGTAAAGACCTGTAGCAATGTTCTCAATAGGCACTACCTGCGCCTGTCATGAATCTGTTCCTCCTAGAAGACGCCCAATTCTTTGATGACCTTCACGCCTATCTCCATGTCCTAGTCAGCCCCAGGTCACATAAGGTATATGTCAGGCCTTATACTGATCATGCAATGCCACCTCTGTCTTCACCTTCTGGGATGCTTCCTGGAACACCTGCCTTCTTGGCCATTTCTTGAGTCATCTTGGACAAGTGACTTAGCTTTTCTTTAAGTTTTGTTTTTATTAGTACATGTTTGCGGTATACAGTAATTTCATCCACTGTGGGGAGCTGGTACCTGTTTGTAACAGATACTGAGTTTCACTGGACAGACTTCTCTTCCTCCTGCCTTCAGGACCCTCTGGGAGCAGTTCATACTGTGCCTGGGTTGGGAGGATGCTCTCCGACACTATGGGCTGGTTGCTATCAGAAAAGGCAAAACAATACTTCACTCTTTTCCCTCCTAATCCCCTAAACCCTTGCACATATACAATGAGGGCCAGCCTGGGAGTCCGCAGGGAGGAGGACACATCCCACTTTCCTCCTGCATCTTCAGAGAGTGGTACAGAACCAGATACAGCCTGGCACTGGGCAGGTTCTTACTAAGTGTATTTTGATGAATAAACCTAATTCTGGGAAAATCACCTCAATTCGCTAAGCCTGGCACTGGGCAGGTTCTTATTAAGTGTATTTTGATGAATAAACCTAATTCTGGGAAAATCACCTCAATTCGCTAAGCCCAAGCTTTCTCATCTATAAAATGAGGCTAATGTTACTACTCAGCTCATGCTCATTACAGAATTACAAATAGTGGTCCATACAAAGTAAATACATAGTGCCTACGTGTAATGATAATGCTTTCATGTGCTTAGGAAAACAAAGATTCAGGAGAAGGTAACCGCCTTGTTCAACATCTCACAGCTATAAAGTGGCAAAGCTAGGAATGGCTTAAGCTTGTCTGACTCTAGGCTGTGAGACGTGGTCCTAGTGGAGACATCCTGTTGATTTACAGTGTCATCTTTCTGCCTATTCTGAGTTATGAAATCTCCCGTCTTCAGGTGAGCATGTGCCTTTTGAAGGCTACATTTTCCATCCCCCTGTACCCCAGCAGCTAGCAGTGGCATCTGTGTTCTGGCCACAGAGTGGAAGCTATGTGTAATTTCTAGGAAGTGTCCTGATTTGTGTGTCCTGATTTGCCGATGGTCTGTCTTGTGACCTGGTAGCAGTGGTACCGGCCAGAAGACAGCTTGGGTCAGGCAGTGGAAGTTGGAAGGTGCCATTGTGGCTTGACCGGGAGAAGGGAGCTAGTCCCTGAGGGTGGAGCCTTTGTCACATCTTTTTCTTGAAGTCAAAGAGAAACTTTGACAGGTTTGAGCCACTATTACTATGGATGAGGATACACATCCTGATTTACAGTGCTTAGGGAAAGACTGCCAGTAACTAGGACTGTTGCATTTAAAACATTGTTACAAGAAACCCTAATTTTCCTCTGCTGCATCTCTGTTGACTAGTTCCATGCCAGCCACATAGCAAGTGAGTGGCATTTGGGGGAGCCACTCAAACGAGCTGGAGCCCCATCCCCGAATTCCCATCCCTGTGTGGTTCCAGCAAGGGCTGTGAGAGTGTTCAGCTTTTGACTGGACAGTGAGGCGAGGGGGCAGCTGGGAAGGATGGTATGTGTCATGGTTTCTGCTGGACGGCACAGGACAGCAGGTCAGGGTCTGGGTCCCCAGCTCTTTTCTATCTCATGTAGAATCCCAGGGTCCTAGGCCTAGGGTATGTGCAGTTCCATGATATGGGTTCCAGCCATCTCAGGACATCAGTCAATAATTAGAGACTTAAAGTGGTTCCCTTGCTTCTTCTGTTTTATACCATCCTCCCTTCCTGTGGGCCCCATCCTGAAGCATGCAGAATAGCTGACCAGGTCCCATAATGTAGTGGTGTTACCTACCATAGTAAGTTTCTTGTTCTAGGCGCCTTCTGGTTTCCTCTCTCCAGCTGATACACAGATATTCGGTACATCTTTACTAAATGAACTGAAGAATGATTTAGACATTTGGCCCTCTGGTATATGCTACCTACTATTCTGCCTCTTGGAGGAGGACTTGGACTCAGACTCTGAGACCATATGTCTCTGGCCCTTATGCACAGAATGTTCATCTGTGTCTAGGTAGGGCTAGAAGGGGCCAAGGGGCTAGTGGATCTGAGAGAGGATACAAGTTTGGGGTGGGTGGTAAAATTTGGGGTTGTCTAGAAGTAAGGTTTAATCCCTCTGATAATATTAATGTTGTCCCCAGAATGAGACTTGAGTCTAGAACCATCTACTTTTCTAATCAGCCTTTGCAGAATGGGCAGGGAGTTCCAAGGGTTAATGCCTCTGGCTCTTGTGCTTACCTTCACTTAGAAGACTCAAGATGATGATGATTCCTTGTTATACACATAAGACCGTCCTCCATACAGCACCCTCAGGATCAAGGTCAAATCTCTGCAAGCTGTACACAAGATTCTCTGAGACCTTGTTTTTGTCTTTTTCTTTTTTAATGGTACCGGGGATTGAACTCATGACCACACGCTTGCAAGGCAGGCGTTTATGCCACTGAGCTAAATCCCCAGCCCCGAGACCTTGTTTTTGGGTTCTGACCTGCAGAATAGTGTTCCACATCACTTGGACTTTGCCTCAGTGCACAAATCAGATGCACACGTCTCTGCACCTGGGAGTTGGTATTGTCAGCTGTTTTCTGTCACTGAGAGCCTCAGATTTTAAGACTGACTTTTCTCAATTTCTAGGTCAGGAGACTTCTCAAAGATGGAAGGGTCAAGTCCAAACATAAGGCAGAGAAGCTGTCCACCCACCCATCCACCCACTACCCATCTGCCCACCATCCATCCATCCACTTATATGCCTAATACCCCACCCCTCCATTCAACCCTTCACCACCCCCATCTATCCAGTATTGTGATTCTGATCCAAGCTTTGTGCTGACAGCTGAAGACTGTACAGCACCCCATAGTGGGATAGAAAAAGATGATGCAAATAGAATATAAAGAATAAACATGTAAATGCCATGTTGAGACAAGTAAGATGCTGTGGACAATAGAGGACATCCTCATTCAGTCATGGGGTCAGAGGGGTTTCCTGGAGGAGGTGCTTTTGAATTGATCTTAAAGGACCACTAGAAGCAGAGAAAGCATGAAAGTTAAGGACCAGAATGTGCAAAGGCCCAGGGGGTATCAAATAGCATATCACTCTGTTTGGCAAACACTGTGCACTGGAGAAGGCAGAAGTGATAGAGTTGGGTGCGAGGAAGGTCAAAGGTAGAATCTGATGCAGATTTCTTGACTGACCTGTAGACCTGTTCCAGGCTCTTCTGGAAGTGGACAGGGAGGAAGCACATGTGGAGGCCTCTCAGAGATAGTGTGGGTTGTAATAGGCAGCTGGTACCAGGTCTGAGTGAGTGAGTACTAAGGACAGGGGCTTTGGGGAACAAGCACAGAGAGGCTGGTTCAGGGCATCTCATTGACCTGGTGGGCATTACAGGGTGAGGCCCAAGCTGGCAGATGGGTCATGTTTCTCAGCCGCAGTCTTCCAAGGCTCAGCTGAGGAGCTGTCGCTGGGCAGTTAAGGCTGCTGGGGCTCTTCCCCTTCCCCTTATAGGGTGACTGCAAATGGCTACTGTAGCTTCAGCCCAGGGGGTCTCCCTCACAGGACCTGAACCCAGTCACTTTCTCCAGTTGCGTCAGGGCAGGGCGATTGTCTAAAACACAGTCTCGCATCTACCGCTCACTGCTTGTGAGTCAAAGCATACAGTTCTCAATAAGGCATTTAAAAACATTCCACACTTTATAAACACAGTCTCTGCCTCCCGCCCATCTTTCCTGCCATCCTTCCTTGCTTCCTCCCCTTGATCCAGCCTCTCAGTCATTCAAGGAACACCAACTTTTTATCCCCCCCACCCTTTGTTTTTCCTGTTTGGTTCTCCACATGCCTACCTTTTTGCCTTGTGTCTGAGGGGCAGGCTCTGCCTTTGTTCACTGAGGGGTGCGGGTGGTGGTGGTAAGGCTATTGCTCCTCTCCTTTGCCTATCACTCTTCCAGGACAAACAAAGGCCACTTCCTTTATGAAGGCTCCTGCCTTATCAACTATCCTTCCTCTAGGCTTCCACACCGAGTAGCTTGCCTCTTTATGGGGTATATAATTCATAGCATTGTTTCTGTGCCTGTGTGTTGCACACTGTCCTACCCCTTCCACCAGGGTGGCTGCCTTGTTTAGGCTGTGCACTGCATGAGAATACCCTGCTGAAGGGTGTGTCCTGGTGGGAGACTACATCTGCTCAAGAAGGAAGAATGCTTTTTTCTAAATTCTACATAGGAAGCTGTTCTCCAAGTGATGGGTTCAATTGACTGAATGTATTTCAAGTGGGCACTTTTCCGGTTTCTCAAAATAAGGTTCTTTGAGCTGGTATGGCGGATTGACTAATGGTCAACTTGTAATACTCAGCTGAACTGAGTTGGGATGGTGCTGGGTATGGAAGGCTGTGGCCAATAGCATGAAAGCAGACCTGGAGGGGAGGACGGTGTGCTGTTGATTCTCTGGAGAAGCCTGTTACCTTGGCTCTCCTGATATGAACTCAGCTGTTCTCCTTGTCCGGAGCTTAGGTCCTCACTGTTGCTGATGGCAGCTGCAGTTCCTTTTGAGGGAGCTCTGGATCTTAGCCTGAGTGTCGCTTCCTGGTTCCAGCGCAGATCCCTTAGCCTATTGACACACATCCTTTATTCTGCTGGTGTGGACTTCCTGGTTTCCACCACTGACCTTTGGGCCTCCCCAGTGCAGATGCTTGATACAGACTTGCGTGAGACATTGCTGTTGGTACTAGGCCTCCAGCTAGACTTGTGCAAGACATTGCCATGGGATCCAGGCCCTAGGTTGGATTCTTTGGGTCTCCTGTGTATAGACCGATCTTCTGTACTCTTCTACATTTGGCTTTTTGGGTGAATAATACAAAATAATCCTATAAGCTATGTGTTCTGTATTAAATCTATTCCCTTGCAATTCCTGACTGCCTAGCACACCTGGTGATAACCACACCCTATTTTCTAAATTCTTGAGGAACTTCTGAGTTCCTGAAGATCAGGATGACTTTGGCTCAACAACAGTGGCAGGCCCCAGAGGCCTTTGGGAATTTTCTGAAAGCAGAAGATTGAGCAGCGAGTCTTGGAGATATGCTACAATGCATGCCTGCCTTGTAGGGAGACCAGGCTCTGACAGTGTGGCTACAGATTTGTTTGGAAATTCCCCAGTAAGTGGTGTTTTTTGTCTCCCGGGGACCTTGAGAGCTCACTGGAGGACCCAAAGACTAGGTCTCCTCCAAATATTGTTTTAAACTGATTGATGCCATGCCAGGCAGAGAAGGGCCAGGCATTTTTCATACATGAAAGACAATATATTCTGGGGCCAAAACAAAATTATTTCACATTTGTATGATAACAGGCAGTGAGACAAAGATGATGTCTGAGGACATTTAAACCTCAAAATCATTAGTCACTGTCCCAGCAGGCTACACAAATAAATGATCAATGCACAGAAAAACAAGGCCCTCTGAGGTGTTTGCCCAAGACCACTTATGTGTCAAGCAGACTTATTAGATGTGAAGGGAATGATTATTTGTACAAAGTGAAATGAACATGTGCAATAATATTGTAAAATGTTTATTAGTCTAGAGTGTGCTGAATGTTCCTAAAATATATCAGGTTCTCAGCTTGCATTTAATGTACTGTTATAAATGATATCACATCCTTCCAAGCCGATTTTCCGCTTAACGCTAAGCCGCTTTGCTGGGGAAAGCGTGTTTTCAGATCCCAAGTATGAAAACACTGTGGGGTTAAACTCTCTTTTCTGCTTTCTGCTCCCCACCCCAGGTGGTTACCTCCCTGTAAAACTTGTCGCAGATCTGGCTGGGTGAGAAGGGCAGTTGGTTAGGACAGAGGGTGGTTAGAAGAGGAGAAGGAGGCAGTGGGTTATTGCGGTAGAAACTTTAGACAGGAAGCTCAGAGGATACGGTTTCTGGATCTGATCACTGATTCCCTGCTGTGTGGCCTTGAACTGTCCTTTCTCCTTTCTGGACCTTAGTCATTGTAATCAGAAAATGGGAACCGTGTCTGAAGGGACTACCAGAGCTAAATATCTACACTTTCTAAGTCCCAGTTTGCTGAGACCTAAGTCTGGGGGATCAGAAGGGATTTAGGAAGTGAATGAATGAAGTGCTACACAAAATTTCATATTTTTTTCTATGATTTTTTTGGCAAACTCTTTTTTATCTCTAATCCCTTACCCAGTTGTTCCCTCCCTTGAGAAGCCTTCTCAGATCCTCTAAGCAGTCTGTCGGTCTGCTTTTGACAGCACCTCATCCTCATGAAACATATTGCATCTCTTGCTCCATGAGCCTGTGGTGTCTCCACATCTGTCACCTGGGCCAGGTACATATTTGGCACTCAGGGAATGACTAGAGAGTGTGGGCCAGGAGAAGCAGAGCTGGCACGACCTTTGGCACTGATGCGATACTGGCCCTGCATCTGAGAGATGGGGAAAGGGGTTGGTCCAGGTTTAACTCTGCCTGGTCAGAGCCCCAACGAGACCAAGACTGCTCAGGCATTCTGGAGAAGAGTCTTAACAATGTTTCCTACAGTTGATGGGGAGCAGAGAGCCCTAGCTGAACCCCACCACCTTGGCTCTGAATAGGTGGGAGGGAGAGGCAGTCGGCCATGGTTGGGATCAGCCAAGGCTATCTTGGGTCTCAAGTGGGGGTAGGGTGGTTTCGCTCTGTAATCCTCACTCCCAGGGCTTGCTGAAAACCCTGATCTTCTATCAGTCCATGATAGTCTGGGGTTCTTTTGGGAATCTGAGGTCACAGCATGATGATATCTGTGCAGCACAACCCAGATGTCCTTGAGGTCCCCTCTCTTGGAGAATCTGCATTGCCTGACTGAGTCATCCTCAGTGGAGGACTGGGGCTATAGAAGCCACCTCTGGATGCTTCATCCTCACCCATAGGCCGGGGATTCTCCTGGCTCTGTGCTACCCCAGAAAGATCCAGGCTGGCCAGTACCTACATTCCTCATTCAGGGGTGGTGCTCCAATGTCTTGGGTGGCTGTGGATAGTGTGGCTGGGTGAGGAAGTGAGGTGTGTGTGGGAGGATTAGAGCTGTAAGTTGTGACTTAGAACAATCCAGATTCCTTATGCATCCCTGGGAGGCTGGATCCTGATTATCTCTGACCCTACGTTGTCTTTTTCCTCCTCCTCCTCTTCCCCTGTGCACCCAGGATATCTCATTTCAGGACAGCGCTCCCTGCCACTTTCCTATTAGTGAAGGACACTGCAACCTGAGATGTGAGAAGGCCACCTCCACTCAGCACTGCGCCTACTGCAGCCCTGTGGCCCTGTCAGCAGTCCGTTGACACACACATATGACACGAGAAGAGCGGGATCAGGTTATTCCTGGCTCTCCTCCCTCCATGTGTTGGGCTAGCCATGTCCCAGCACCAAATACCATCACATGTCTCAAGGGAGCTAACTATCAGTTCCTGCCACAGCTCTTTCCTGTCTCCTTCAGGTGGGAACTGTTTTGTTGTTGCCGGCACAAATCGCTGCCATGTTCCTCTTGTTTCCAAGTCCTCTCCACAGTGCACCCTGTAAAGGACATGAGTGCTGCACCTGCCCAGAGGTGGGCAGCCAGCAGACAATATAAGGAGGGAGGGAAGTGCGCTTTCCCTTTTATTGCCCGTCGGCTCTTGTTGCCTGCAGCTGCCACGGCTGCCCCTCAGCCAAGCCACTCTGCCTTGGAGCCAGTCGAGTATGGACTGAGACCTCCAAAAACTGTAAGATAAATAAACCTTTCCTTGATTCACTTCAGGCATCAGGTATTTTGTCTTAACAACGAGAGAAAAGTAACCAAGACACCATGTGAAGATGAAAGCAGAGTTCAGGGGATGCCCCTGTAAGCCAGGGAACCCGAAGGCTGCCAGCCAAAGCCAGGAAGCTGTGGAAGAGGCATGGGCATCCTTCAGGCCTCAGAGGGGAGCAACCTGCCAACACCTTGATCTTGGACTTTCAGCCAGCAGAGCTGTGAGACAGTAAATGTTTGTCCCCATTACTTCCATCCCTCCCCCAGCAAACCTCTGCCCCTGTTGATGGTACTGTTGCGGCAGCCCAAGCAAGTGAAGGACCCTCTCGGTGCTCCAGGCTGTGAGAGCTGCTGAGGTGATGAGTGGATCTGTGCAGGTGTTGGAGTAGCCCAGCAGCATGTGGGGGGAGAGTTTAACTAGGAAGTATTCCCCAAATACATGAGTCTGAGGAGCAGTGTTTAGAGATGGGGCCAGTGCAGCAGTGTTTAGAGATGGGGCCTTGAGAGGTAATTGGATCTCAAGGATGCTAACTTTATATCAATGGACTTAGCCACTGACAAATTCATAGCCTAGTGGAGCATTAGGAGGTAGAGCCCAGTTGGAGGTGGGGGGGCCCCTTGGCATGTCTTTAAGGGTACGCCTTGTCCACAGCCTGTTCCTCTAGCTCTGTCCCCTTTTCTATGCCTCCTGTGCCAAGAAGTAAGCAGCTTTCCACCATGATGCTTCTGCCTTGCTACAGGTCTCAAGCAACAGAGCCAGCTGAGCATGGGCAAAAACTTCTGAATCATGAGCCGGAATAAACTGTTCCTCCTCTTAAGTTGTTTTCACAGGTATTTTGTTACAGCACTGGGAAGATGAGCAACACAGGGTGGGACTCCAGGATTTCTGGACCTTCCCTAGCCCCAACTTTCCCATGTGAGGAGTTGGGAAGAGGAGCCCAGAAAGGTCAGTGCCCCCCTTCCTCAACTGGGTCACCTCAGATCACAGCAGGTCAGCAGGACTCCATCCAGACCCTGGTCCACTTGCCAAGTATGTGGTGACTGCTTTTTGTGCTGGGTGCCTCCAACCAGCATCTTATCCTTTGGTCCCCTGCTCAGCCCTGGGTGGCCTTGGTGCCTGAGTGGGTCTGATGAGGCTCTAGTTGTTTGGAGAGGTGGCCCCTGATGGAGGGTGTGGGAGGGGAGCAGCCGACGTCCTTCAGGTTCTAGCACTGCCTCTGGCCGTCTGGGTGGAAGATGGAGACCTGGGTGGCCTGTGGCCCTGGACCTGCTGGCCAGGGCTTTGGAGTAGTGTGGAGGCTGATCACAGGTTCCTTGGCCTCTCGTGTTTCCTTCTGCTCTTGGATGGAGGCTTGATGCTCTGGCTGTGTTTCTGACTTCTTTTATCTCCTGCCTCCACTGCCTTCTAGAACCAGCCCAGGGACTTACTCTGCTCAGCATCAGAGGATTTTGCCATTGTCAGATGGTTGCTCTCTGAATCTCTGCCTCTCAGTGTGTGAAGGACTTAATGTAAGGCCAGCCTTCAGTGAGGGTTACAGGCTCTGCCTTTAGCAGGGCTGTGTGGCTCCTCCCAGTTAGAGCCCGAAAGGAGTCCAGAGGGAAATTACAGGTGCTGTTGACAATACTGGGACTTAGGAAGGTCCAGTGTTTGGAAACATGGGTTGGAAAGTGATGCCCTAAGTGTTGGGTGGTGAGGCCTGTCTCACAGTTCTTCATCTGAAAAGAATCTGGAAGTCTTGGTGGTACCCAAGCTCCACGCAAGCCAGGACAGGGAAGAAAATGAAGACTGCATTCATGGTGGGGCATTAAAAGACGTAACAAATACAAGCAAGGAGTTAACAAGTCTATTGTCACTGACTCCTTGGGTACTTACTCACCCAACTTAGGAATTATACTGGCAATTCTCCAGGCATAAAGCGGTCTCCCTCATTCAAGGTTGCTCTATCAGGAACATTTTTCAAGTGCCCCCAGAGAGCCTGCTATATTGTACTTACCTCTGTTCTCCCATTAAGTGTTCTCTGAAAGTCTGTGATTTCCAGACAGTACTCTAGAAAGGACAACCTTTCCTTCTTTATCAGTTTTTCCTAGAACATGGCTTGGTGAAGCTTTCCTTTTCAGTTGGGACCAGCTCTAGTATTTGCTCACTGATTCTTGTCTTAAGCTCCACGCAGAGCCTAGTGAGGCCATCATCTCCTGTGTGCTGATGTTGCTACTCCTGTTGATGCAGCCAGAGGTGCGAGGCCGGATACTGTGAACTCCTAGGCCTCAATGACCCAAGCTGGATCTTCATTCAGAAGTGATTCACTCATGTTCTCTAGAAGGGGCTTGGAGTCAGTCACACAGTGAACTAGAGAGTTGTATACCTGTCCCAGTCCTGTCCTACCTGTAGCCTTTCCTCTTCCTTGTACCCAAGCTGATCCCTCCCCTGGCTCACGGATCAGTTCGAACCTGTCTACACTGAAAAGACTTAGTAACTTGGAGTGCTGTAGGGCCCAGATTACAAAATCCTTATCTCTTTCTGGGCCTCAGTTTCTCCAAGTATAAAATGAGGGGTCAGTCCAGCCTTCCTTGGCAGCCTCTCAAGCCCTGCTGTTGTACTGAGTGCATAATTTGGGCATTTCCATTTCTGTGACTTAGCAGCAGGGCCAAGGGCTCCATGGTGCCACTTGCATCTCACATAGTATGGGAAGCCCTGATTTCCAGGAATCCCATGGGAAGAAAATCTGCCCACACTGGCTGTGGGATCCAGGGAGGGGCCCCAGCCAGTGGGAGACAGGCATGAGCATCTGCGTGGTCCCCAGCGGAGGTGTACAGATTGACTCATCAAAGGTGGAGTGGCGTGTCCTGCTAGTGATGCCCCTTG